CTTTTTCCTCCAAATCTTCCTCTCCACTGGAAGAGTGGAGGGGGGATTTGTGAGAGTGGCCTTGTGGTATTTGGCTGGCCAGAGTTAAACCACAACAGTTACCTTGGGCAAACATGGAAGAAATGCAAATAAGTCATTTCGTGCTTTAAGACAACCTTCATAAATAAATGTAAGCCAGATCAAAATTCTCAAGGGATACATATAATACCTCTTAATGCCGGGAGAAGCCTCAGAAAATATTGAATTGGGGCACATTTAACTGAAACAAATATTTTCCTAAGACAAATTATGAAGGAGCTCATGAACTTCCTACTGAGTGATTGAGAAGCAGCTAGTAGGCTTTTATGTTCTTCCTTCTAATGAAGATCTATTTCTATCTTCCTGTGACCACAGATTCAGTCCTCACATCTTTGATCACAATGGCTACAGCCTTCCCCAGTAATTGTTTCCAGTGAAGGCACACATATAGAATGTATTTTCACAACATCTGTGTATTATCTTCAATTTTCCCAAAGAATACATTGCAGTGAAGACTGGTGAATAGACTAGTCAGGATTTACATCCTTGTTTCTTCTTAGATAGTCAGTGTCATGGAAGCTTTGACAACATTGCATTGCAAAAGCTACATAGAAGAGACATTGTTAATGCTAAGTACAAGTTAAATCCCCAAATAACAAGCTGAACATCTGTGACATATGAACAGAACAATCCTCAAGCCTGTTATTGCTATACTGCCATTTTTTGTACAAGTGCTTGAATTCAGAGAAGCCTGTTAGCTATCACTGTATACGATGTAAAACTGTACTGCAGCCGTAAAGGTCCTGACTACTGAGTCTTTGATTTGATAGGTAATCTGTCTTTCTAAAACATATCAACAGAAGACTGTGTGAAGTGATAAACTGTGCTATGAGCAGCACATGCTCATTACAAGAATTTTAGCATGAAACATTCAGACCATCTTTCTTTTTAGGGTTGTCATTGGCTCTCCTTCAGACATTCCTGTATGATCGATCATAGTAATTATGCAGGTTTGAAGGCTTTGAGGTAAACACTTAAAAAAACCCAACAACAACAAAAAACCCAATAGAGTTGAGAAACGAAAATAAAAAACATAAAGAAAAAAAGAGAAGAAATTACTGTTGTGTTAAATCAACGACACCTTAAACTTTCGCTTCATGTATAGTCCTCTATTTGCCAGTTTCCAAAGCCACCTTCCAAACACAGTCTCAAAAACTGGAGGTGCTTGGAAAAATATTAAACTGTCATATGCATTAAGTAATCCTTCTCTCAAAAATCTGCTGATCCTCTCAAATGATCTGCAGAGGAACTTCTGTTACTAAACAACTACTAACTAAACAACACCTTAAGCTGTTACTGGCTGCTCATCACACTTCCACTCATAGCTGCTAAGCAGCTGGTCAAAAAAATTAATTGCTTTTGGATAAATAGGTTTACTCATGGGATTGTGGAGTAAATTGGGACATTCCACTTTCTCCTGACAAAGGAACATTCATCCAAATGTGCAGATGAGAAACTACATTTAAACCATATTTATCAATTAATCAAAATTTTAGTATCACAACAGAGCTGAAGATAAGATTGAAGGTGATCAAAGCAGGAATTTTTGAGGCCTTGTTTCTCCTCCGGTTCTACTGTGCTCCCAAAATCTTTATGCATTCTATCTACAGTATGCAAAAAAGTTTTAAAAAAAAGAAGTGATTGGCCCTCCACCCACGTTTCAGTTGCCAAAAACAACTTAGGAACACAGGTTTAGATTTAAGGTGAGAGCTTAAATTCATACCTGAAAAACTCCATAAAAGAGAAGCCATAACCATGCTGTTCAGCAATTCCTGCACAAACAACGTTCGCGGATGCTCCAATCAATGTGCCATTACCTGCAGTTCAGAAAACAAATACCAGTTTATAGCTGCGCTCTGTTTCTTACCCATCCTCTTCTTATTCTGTGCTAAAGTCTTAAGATGTACTAGTTAGAAAAGAAAAAAAATCAATTTCTCTTGTATAGGCTTGAAAAGAAACATGCAGAGAGTATCTCTACATCCTAAAAATATCTTCATGCTTTGAAAGATAAGCCTGGTATGATTCTCTACATAAGCCAGAAAAACAGCTAAGGAACATAGCACCAATCTAGCAGTTGTCAAAATGACACCAGAGAGTTGCATTCAGATAAACTTGCTGATTTTTGGTTTTACATACAAGAAGGTGCCCCCAGATGATCTGAAAAAAAAAGATTGAGCTAGTTTGAGGATGCTAAGAAAAATGGATGCCTTTTTTTGCTTACACAAACTTGACACTGACAAATTAGTGTCTTTTTATAGGGAGGGTAACTAATTGCTGGGATTTTTTTTTCTTAACAGAAATTTAAAACTCAGTAAGTTGGACGATGGAGGGGAACGGATCTGTTGCACATCTCTTTCTGCTAAAGCAAAAGGATGAGCACAGATACAAAGTTTGCTTACCAAACCACAAAGGTTCTTCAATACATAAAAGAATATAAATTTATTCAGTGAACTTCACCAAATTACATTATTAGGTTCCCTTAAGAGAGAGGTACACAGAAAGAAAATAATATGGCACGTTTATAATGTGCACCTACCCTCTTGGAGGAATTGCATACTTCTCTTTTCTCCTAAAACTTTTCCAGTAACTATTCTATTAGTTACTATAAATACTATACTCTGTCTATGACGACCTGTGCTGATGTTAGTGGAACTACACATCAGTAGAAGGGTATGTCGCTATGGATCATAGAAGGATCATGGAGCATTCTTGTGAGGCACCAAGGGCTATTTGTGACCTAGGCTTCTTGTCATACACAGTGAACCATGTACCCACCCATGTGTGCTTCAGGTGTGGATAGAAAGGATGAGTAACCTTTCTAGAGGACCAGAAACCTTTTTAAAAATCTGTCTAGGATGGCACTGGTCATTAGGAACTCACAGTTCGTTTCCCCTTCCCTGTCTTTGCCTCAAAGCAAATTTTATTTAATGCATGTTTAAAGATATGAAATTGAACTTGGAACATCAGTGTTCCTGGTAGGTTCTGGCATGAGAAAACAAAGATAAAAAGCACGTGGTTTAATGCTACAACAGAACAAATGAATACAGACAGTGTTATTAGAGGAGTCAGGGAGGAACACTTAAGGAATTTTCAATTCTAAAACTAATCAGTAGTCTATAGCCTCCAAATATTTCATAAGAGGATTCTACTATATGCATAGCACAATCAGACATCACCATCAGAATAATTTTACTGTGGGTAAGGAATATAGTTCTGGCTTCAAATTAAAGAAAGAGGACTGAAACTGCACTTGTCCCATGGCTGTGACTAGATACAGCTGAGATCTCCAAACAGCAAGAGCTCTCCTATACTGTACATAGGCTATAGTAATACCTTCACATAATGAAGTATTATGGAAAGAGTTTCTGCTTCAGCAGTGAATTGATTTCCCCAAGTAGATTTCACTTGAGGAGAAATTGTCACCTTAAATGTTATCTGAAAGGAGCAGCATTTCTTTTTCATTTGTTCAGAGCGTGTGTGCAGTTTAATTAGGTATTGGCTCAGCAGGCTTCAAAGAACTGCACCGAAATTAACAACAGAAGCAAACTTTTGTTTCTCCTCCCAGAACATCTGCCTCTACCACAGATATTTAATTCACTAGTGAAACAGTAACATGGGGACCTCTGAATCATGGAAAACCCAAGACTAGGTTAATGTACGTGGAAAGCTACCAATCTGTTTTGATGACTCCTATTGTAACTTTTTTCATAACCCTTACTGTAACTCATCCTTCATCACAAAGTAGATGGTTATTAAGAAACTGGATTCATTACAATGAATTAAATATTATATTTCTAATATCAATAGTATGAGATATGTATGAGGTAAGCTATACATTAAATCCTGCATATCTCTTATGCCTGGCATTCTTGGTAGACTGCATGTATTATTCTCAATACTAACTATGCTTAATAATTCATAAGAATAAAATCAAAAATATCTTTCTCTAATGCAAAAAAAAAAAAATTCTCATTTTGAAGCACGATCATAGAAAGATACTGACATGTCACTTAAAGAGCTGCTGTTGCCTAGGCTACAGAGAAGAAAATGACAGAGGAATCCTCATGGATCACACTCATTTTTCCATGGACCTGCCCTAAGTTTGCACAATCATTGCAAAAGTAAAGATCTTCTACTGTTTCTGCCCAGAAAAGGTGACATAAATGTATCTTTCTTCTCAACGCAATTTACTTTGAACACCTTTAGGGAATGTGAAATTAAATCCAAGTATAAGGAAGTAGTCAACAGTTTTAGTCAAGAACAAATCTATCAAGAAAGATCCAAAATAAAACCCCACATGCTAAAATGTGCCTTGGCATCTCCAGCTAACTTGGAGGTACAAGCAGGAAGATGTTGACAAGTTTTGGTAAGCTTGATTTGACACCTGCAATATCCACCAACCTTGTTTCTTCCAGCTTTCTGCTTCCATTTGTAGCTACTTCTCAACCCAGTGTTCAGTTGTCACCCTCTGCTACATTACTCCTGCAGAGACTGCCAAATTCAACCCCAGAACCTGTACACCACCCATGAGGCACCTTCCTTGAGCTTAGACAGCCTCTCCCTCAGTAAACAGAGTTTGCCCAGGTGACTATAATCTGCAATTGCACTGCAAATCAGTGCTGGGAGAACTGGCTGACCTTACTAAAGGAAGGGGCTGGGGAATCAGGGGGGAA